ATTATAATTTTATATACACTTACATTTATTTCTAATTGCTTCATGATTGACTATGACCATATTTGGACTTCAATTTTCTGTCTCTGGACCCATACTTCCCCATTATATGGATCAAGTAACTAATACAAATCAGAGATACTCTGTAAATAAATAATTACTCTTATACTTTTATCATTTGGAAAATCACATTCTGAAATGGATCTCACACCTGTAAAATAAGTTAACATGAAATTACTGCATATCTTAATGATTGATTTTGAGTATATGTAATTTAAGACTTATCATCAAGAAAGGGAGTTCTGGGCTGAATTTGAAGGAATGGAAAGACAAGTCAAGAAAGAAAGGAAAGTTGACTGTCTAAAACACTGTTATAGTTATTCAATTCATTTTTTAATTTTAAGTGAATGGAGGTATTTTAATGGGGTCTCTTTTGTAAAATCATAACTATCGTTTGACTTGAAAATGAAATATGTTAATGGCAATTTGTTGATTATTTATTGTGTCCTCAGGATGATTGGTGTTTGCACTGAAAGAGCAGAGTGGTTAACATGAACCTCATCACATTTATCTTTTATTTCCAGAAATTCTTTCCAGCTCTTGTCCCGCGAACTGGATTATGCATGAGAACAGCTGTTACCTATTGAGCACATCAGAGGATTCCTGGGAGAGAAGTAAAGCACAATGCTCTCGACAGGGCGCTAATCTCCTGAAGATAGAGAGCTCAAATGAATTGGTGAATGTAGATTTCAGTTGTAATTATCTGTGGTCTATATTGAGCAGAAAAATAGAGTTAGATTCAACGTAAAGATGTTTCCCTAACAGAAAGTTATTGTTAATATTCTCCTTAATTATAACAATAGCATGCATTAAGTGGGTAAAGTGTATTTTATATGCTTTTATTTTCAATTAGTGAATTAAAAATAAGCACATTTCATTTTCAAACAAATCCTTTTAAACACACTGCAAATCTGCATGACTAATAATCAGGCCACTGCTCATTTTTGTGGGTTTGGATTTCAATTTTTAAATTTAGTGGAGTAAAATAGAAAGTTCTCCTATTGTCATCATAATTTTAAAGAAAAATAATAGCAGTGAAATTATACATTTATAAATCATTTACTCCTTGCAGGATACTGGGAATGGTAAAGAAATTTAAAAAGTAACTTACTAATGCATAGCTCATATAATTTGTAAGAAAAAATAAACACCTCAACAGCTGTTAAAAGTTAAATGTTTGGTATTGGCAATAAATGCAATAAGGAGAGAGAGAGAGAGAGAGAGAGAGAGAGAGAGAGAGAGAGAGAGAGAGAGAGAGANTTCACAAAGAGAAATGGAAACACAGAAGTCATTTGCCCAAGATCATGCAACAAATAAGTAAAAAGGGAAGATTACTCTTCGTCATCAGTGTTATTTCCCCTGCATGAAGCTGTCTCTTCCAAGAATGAGTGGGATTTCAGGAGTCCTGGTAGTGTGAGATGTATAGCCATCAATGTGGAACTGAAATCAGGAGTGCATAGTTATCAAGGCACTGTGCTCAAATTACAGTTCTAGAACCTGATGAGGTATGCTAAAGGTGGGGGGCAATGCAGACTCATCCAAGATAACTAGATTATCCAGGTGTCAGTGATTAATGGTCACTTCAGTATTTGCCAGATTTTGATGAATTGTAGAATTTAAGTACTCCACAACCCATTATCTTATTTTCTCATTCATTTTCTGCTCTGTCTGGTCTTCAGGAACTTTTGGGGTATCTCATTGGCGTTGCATTGCTGTGACTTTGGGAATCCTGTGCTTAGTACTACTGGTGATAGCTGTGGTACTGGGTATCACAGGTGAGTATTGCTGGGGAAAATTAACAAGAAGAAATATTTAATAAGCATTTATAATACAGTAGACACTCTTTTGAAAGCTTGACATGCATAGCCTAATTTAATCTGCATATTAACTCTATTGAATTGGTGTTATTAATTCCCATTTTATTTATAAGGGAAGTGAGAGACTGGGAGTTTATTTTACTTTTCTAGGGTCATTATCTAGTTAGTGGTAGGACCATAATTAGGAATTTAAGGCATCTGTCTAAAAAATTCACACTCTTAACTACATTTCTCTACTACCTTCCTTGAATGGCTAGTTATAAAGCTGTGGAATTCCCAAGATAAATTAATGGAAGAAAACTAGGAGAGGTGAAGAAGGAAGTACAATTTGGTGCTATCTTCCTAACAAAACAAATGCCCTAAAAAAAACTATGATCTATTTTTATGAGTCTCACGATTTAAGGAAACTATTTTATATCTTGTCTTTAATCTCAATTTCTTTGGATAATACCAGGAATTACCTGAGGTACTTACTAAACACTAAGTAGATATTTTGTGATTGATGAATGAATTTCCTTAGATTTTATATCTCAAGCATTCTATTGTCATTAAAGTATTGTACTTTCAGAGAGTCTTTGTTAGATTCCTTAATTGTTCAAATGTTTATTCGGTATAGTCTATGTTATAGATACTGGACAGGTTCTCAAGTAGCTCTCATTTTTAAAATACAGAAGATAGACAATTTATTATTATTGCAAATTTATCATGGCTCCAATTGCTTCCATTCTATTTGTCATTTACTTTCTCCTTAATACTTTTTCTTCTTCTCTACCTGCTTCATTTTTCTCTTTTTTACTATACCTCCTACATGGAAGTTATTTTTCTATCTATTCTATCATCTATCTATCTATCTATCTATCAGCTATCGTCTATCATCTATCTTTCTATGTATATTCATCTATCATTTTTCTATCTTTACCTCTCCATCAGTAGAGTATTATCTATCATTAATTAAGAATATATCTCTTTATATTACAACAAAAATATAGGTTTTGGAATTTCAATTTTCAAACATAGTAGAATGATATTTTTTGTCATTATTGTTGTTGTTGGTATATGAAGGTCTGTGGAGATCTAATTCGGGAAGCAACCCATTGAAGAATGACAATTTTCCACCAAGAAATAAAGGGAACCACAGTCAACCCACACAGTCATCTTTAGAACACAGTGTGGCTCCTACCAAGACTCTCACAACCACAGGCAAGGGCAGAG